AGAAATTGAAAGCTTAAATAGCTCAAGAAGGTGAAATTGATGAGTTGAATCAGTTTAATTTCAAGTATCGGACCGTATGAGAGTTTAATTAAATATTCAATTCAATTAGTACAATTGAGATTTGATTAATTGGGTCTAAATTAGAGTTAATTAAGTTATGAGGATTGGGAATTAAGATTATTATAAATTAAATTTACTTATGAGGTGTCCAATTTGAGTATATAGTTTATTACCAAAGATTTTGAGTTTGATCTAAATTTGAAGGCCTTAGTGATTTAAGAAATCAAAATTGAGGATAGAAATACATTTAATTTGATATTTGAAACCTTTTGGGAGTTTGATTAAAAATTTGATTCAGATTGATAAATTTAAATATAATTAATTGGGCTCTAAGGGAAGTCAAATTAGACTAATTAAATTATGTAGAATTTATGATTAGTATGATTAATTTAATTGTGTGCTAATCAAGATTTATTAAGATTAAGTGTTACTTAATTAAATTAATCTTGTTCATAAATTGCATTCTAGAATGGTTTAGAATTTGAGAGTGTATGTGAGTGGGAGTGTGCTGAGAAATATGTGTGTGCAGAGAAATCTGTGTGTGTGCATGTGAGTGTTGTGTTGGAGCTCAAAGAAATGTGTAAGTATGTGCACGTGTTACAAGAAGTGAGGGTGTGTGTATATGTGCCTTGTGATGAATTTTTTGTCAAAGGAAGAGAGGGCTTGGCTTGTTGAGTGTGCTAGAGAGCTTAGAAAGAGAGAGAGCTCAAAGAGTGTAGAGAGAGAAACCTGTATTTGTGTGAAAGATTGGAAGAAAGAAGAGCAATTGCAAGAGGTGCTCAAGAAATTCTGCAAAATCAAAATTATAAGTAAGGATTCGAGGTTTAATTTGGAAGATTAATCTCATTACACCTTCAAATTAAGAGACTTTTCAAGTTATTTTCATGAATTAAGAAATTTTTGGAATCAATATCTTATGATTGGAAGAAATTAAGGAGAAAATTAAGGAACTTGAGCTAGGATCATGGTTTTGGAAATTGATTTAGAAATTAATTGCTTTTGGTTTGATTTTGTAATATTTTCTTATAATACTTGAGATTGAGAAGGATTTGAGATTCTGTTCATGGAATTAGAAAGAAATTGGGTTCTAAACATGAAATGGGTTACATGCATGTTCATGGTTATGGAAATAAATTTAGAAATTAATTATTTTGGGTTTGATTTTGAATATCTTGCATGAATTTGAGTCTTATTTTTACATACATGTAAGTTGGAGAAATTAAAGAATTAATTAATAAATATGGAAATAATTGTAAGAATTCTTTAAATTGAGCTTGGGTTTAGAAACCTTGATATATATGAGATGTATATTTGTATGCACCATAAGTTTTGAAAGTATTTGAGCTATGCAAGTTTATTATGCGTTTGATTTTGAAGAAAATTTTTTGAAAACATTGAGTTCATAAAAAGGGTTTAATCATGGAGTTAAATGAAGTTTTGATTTTGTTTTAAAACCTAAAAATTGATTTGATTTTAATCCATAATCCATGCATGTAATGTAATTTAAGAGTTTTATTTAATCTAAACATATTTTGGGATATATTAAATTAGTTAGTTTTATTTGAATTACATACATGCAATATTTGCTAGAAAAATTGACAAGAAAATGAAGAATTGGAGCTAAGTTAAAGTTTATGAAAGTTAATTTAGAAATTAACTATTTTGGGTTTGATTTTGAAAGTTATAAGTAAATTAGGCTTCATAATTACATGCAATTTCATTGTACATTTGATTTTGAAAAAAGAATTTTAGAAACCATGAGTTCAAGGGTTTTAATTTTGAAATTAAGGTTTTGATTTAAAGAAATTAATTAGTAATTATGTTTCAAGATTTTGAGCAAACCATTTATAAATAAATAAGTGTTTATGTTATCTAAAGTATGTTCAAGGTTTTAATCAAGATATGTATGGATTTAAAGATTGAAGAATGCATTTGAAAGCTATTTTAAAAAAAAAAGTTGGAACTTTGAAATTTTATAGACTGCTCGAGCAGTGTAATTATCGCTCGAGCACACATTGAAGGCTATATAACTATTTGGAGAAAAAGTTAAAAAATTACTCCACGAGCAAAAAGTTTAAAAAATTAATGGCAGTGCTGCAGAGCTCTAATTAGAGCTGCACTGCAGCAGCTTTAAAGCTGGCCACATTAAAAAAAAAAAAAAACAGTGAGGTAAAAGACAAAATATGAAGAAGAAAAAGACAAATTAATTGTAACGCCCGTTATCTAAAGTATGTTCAAGGTTTTAATCAAGATATGTATGGATTTAAAGATTGAAGAATGCATTTGAAAGCTATTTTAAAAAAAAAAGTTGGAACTTTGAAATTTTATAGACTGCTCGAGCAGTGTAATTATCGCTCGAGCACACATTGAAGGCTATATAACTATTTGGAGAAAAAGTTAAAAAATTACTCCACGGGCAAAAAGTTAAAAAAATTAATGGCAGTGTTGCAGAACTCTAATTAGAGCTGCACTGCAGCAGCTTTAATGAGCTGGCCGCATTAAAAAAAAAAAAACAGTGAGGTAAAAGACAAAATATAGAGAAGAAAAAGACAAATTAATTGTAACGCTCTCAAAATAATACATAGAATCCATCATTTTAGACATGCCATGATATAAGAGAAATCAACACCTTTCTATTCATCAGAGTAGTTCTTACAACAGTATTACATGTTAACAACAAAAGTAAATGCCCTACGGGCTTACAGCTTTCCAAGTCAACACTTGGTTACAAAAAGAAGAGTACTAACTCTACAAAATAAGCCCTTGGCTTGATTTACATGTTATACAAACAAAATAATCAAAAAGAGTCTTCAACTCCCATAACCATCCAAGCTATGTCCTTGGAGGTGGCATGCTACTTGTACCTGAAAATGATGTCCCATAAAGGGTGAGCCAACGCCCAGTAGAGATATGCTAAACACAAAATGAGCAGTAACTAAGACATTAGCAATTGATAAATGTTCTCGCAATACTTGATCCCGCCTATCCAAGACGATAAGCATACAAGCTGTATTAACACCTCTATAGATAAGCATATGAGCTATATCAACACTTCAACGGATAAGCATATGAGCTGTATCACCGGAGTCCATCCCTTATCTTCTCTCAAACGTTAACCAGTTTAGAGGTCCATCTCCTATCTTCCCCTAAACCGTGGAGTACATCCCCTATCTCCTCCCACACAACACAATGCATATAAACAATTATCATATACATCATCAAACAATACATAAAGTTAATGTATTCTTTCAACTGTCATATACGATGACACATTCCATTGATTAGTTTTAGTTTACCTAATCATCATGCATTGTCTATGACAATCACGACTACCCTCCACCGGTAGCCCAAGGCAATTATTTCTAAACAGATAATAAATGCGTCAACAGATAATTTATCCATATTTCCAAAAGTGGGCGATTAATAAATCCAACTTCACTAGTCCATCTCATAATGAGCCAATTTCATTATATTCAACTCAATTCCATATTTTCTCAACACCTGTCATTAATTATACTAGTGACCCAAAAATGCCCAAACATGGCATTTTCCCTTTGATTCCCAATATTGACTTCAAGAGTCCATATATTACCAACAATATCAATATACTCATTTTGAAACCCAAACACGTATTTATGGTCCAAAATAAACAAAACCCTCTTTTCAAAATTATACATTTGAAACCCTAGTTTCCAAAACCCAAAACCATTTATACAAAAAACTCAATATCTAGGTCAAAACCCATAAAAGTGAGTAGGAATTCTACCTCAAATTCGGAGCCCAAAGGAAGGAGATGAAGAGAACCAAAATGCTCCAAACTCCAAGATCCACGGATCAAAACGAAGCCCTCGATGATCAACACAACTTTTACAATGGCCAAAGGAAAGGGAAGCACTCTAACTAGATCAAACCCTAGAGAGAAGGGAGTTTCTAGAGAGAGAGGCTCTCAAAATCGATTTTGGAAAAGTAAGAGAGAGAGAGAGTGAATGTAAAAAGTGATTCAAAAATGTCTAACTGCCTTCTGATGTACGACATTCCCGCTCGAGCGGAGAACAGAACGCTCGAGCGTCAAGCACAAAAATCTAGACACGCTCGAGCGCAAGAAGGCCCGCTCAAGCGCCAAGACACAAGAATAAAGTACATCCGCTCGAGCGCGAAAACCAGTCCGCTCGAGCGTAGATTTCCCCCTCCCAGAACTCACACAAAAAATGTACTACCCGTTCGAGCGCGACCCGCTCGAGCGCAGGAAATCCGCTCGAGCGTAGAAATCACACCTGTAGAAGTTTTGCAGAGTACCAAAATACTAGGAGTGTGCAATCTCCGCTCGAGCGCTAGACGACCCGCTCGAGCAGAACGACTAAAAACTGGCAATAAGATTTTAGACCAAGGCTTAACCCACCTGCTCGAAACATGCCTAACACATCCTAAAACTCAAACAAATGGAATCGAAGAATGACAATAAGATAGATACAACTACCAACTCCACGGAACCAAAGTCTGGAATACAACAGATATTGAAAGGAAAAATCGGGATCACTATATAATGCTCCATTAAAGCTTTCTTTTTAGAGTTCTAAACTCATATCCCAAATCAACCCTGAATAACTATTTGGAGGATAGTAAAATACTTGATAATTGAGAATTAATTGGTAATATGACTTTATGGTGCCATATCATTTCACGTGGTTAAAAAACATGTTTGGATTCAATTTTAAATTCAAGTAAAAAAAATAAAAATTAGATTGATAAAAATAAATATAAAAAATATATTTTTAATTTTTAAAAATTATTTTGCCTCGAAAAAAGTAAAATCATACAAAAATGATTGGTGCTTTTTAATTTATTTATTCAATTTGTTTTAAAATTTTTTAGAAAACAAAATTTAAAAAATAAAACTAAACAGAGCCAGACTTTTTGCACACATGTTAGCGGTCATCTCAAACGTGTCGCATGTTGTCCGTAGTAAAATTGCGGTCCACTTCTAACAACGACCTCTTTTTCTCTCTCTTTTCCCCCAAATATCTTCGCCTGAAAAATCGAAAAAAATTCTTGCCCTAATCTCAATTCCAGTCAGCTCAAATCCACCAAATCTGTCACACAAAATCACTGTCTAATTCCATCGAATTTACAGTTCTCAAGTCCACCAAGATCACAACATCCAAGCCCAAGATCTGCGATCTCAAATGGTCTCACACCTCTGAACTCCGACTCTCACACCACCTCTTCTTCAATGGATAATCGTCACAAAGGCACGTTTTTCCTATTCTATTTGCTTTTTGTCTTTGGTTTTCCTCACATTTCTAGGGTTTTTTCAAACTCTGACCCGGTTTCAATCGAAACCGAGGACGCTGATGTATTGAATCGCCGCCAAATTCAGCTAGAGAAGCTTGAAGAACTTGTGAGAAACCTTAGTGAGCTGGTTTCTAGGTTAGAGTCTCGATTTTCTTCGGAAACCCCCAAGGTCGGACCTTGTTTAGATGAGAAACGCAGTGTTGAGAGACCATCTCGTTTCCCTCTTCAAGAAAAGATTGATTCGATTGTGAAAATTGAAGATGAGAGTGGTTTAGTAGATGCTAAGGTTGTTGGAGATGAAGAAAGAGGAAGGGCTGTGTCGGTTACCAAATACAGTCCGTTTTGGTCGGAGAGGTTTCAAGCTGTGTCGGCTTTGAAACTTGTTTCTGATGCTACTTGCATTATTGTATTGCCGTTTAGGGATTTCGAAGGATTGAGCAAGTATGTTGCGATCGGGGATGATCGGGGGAGAGTGGTCGTGTTTCTACGAAATGGGGATGTTTTGGCGGAGTTTAACACGATATTGGATTCCCCAATTACTGCCATGGTGTCTTACATGTCAGTGTATAAGAACGCGAGTTTTGTTGTTACAGGGCATAGCAATGGTTTGATTTTGTTGCATAAGGTTTGGGAGGTTTCAAATGGAGAGGAGTGGACTTCGCTTTCTGTTGAAAATGTTGTGCAATTTACTTCACCAGAAATTGGGGAAGGTGGGTCACCAATTACTTTGTTAGAAGTGCATCATGTTGGAAGGATGAGGTACATTTTGTCCACGGATGTTAGTGGAAAAATTAGGGTTTTCAGGGAGAATGGAACAATCTTCGGTTTGGCTGTGCCAACGAGCAGGCCGCTTGCATTTTTGAAGCAAAGGCTTTTATTTCTGACAGAAACAGGTGCAGGATCACTGGATTTGAGGACCATGAAAATTAGGGAATCGGAATGTGAGGGATTGAACCATTCTTCTGTGGAGAGTTATGTTTTTGATGCCACAGAGAAATCAAAAGCATATGGGTTTACATCAGAGGGTGATTTGATCCATGTGTTATTGTTTGGTGATATAATAAACTTCAAGTGTAGGGTTAGGTCCAAGAGGAAGGTTGACACGGATAAGCAGCCTCTTGCCTTCCAAGCAATCAAGGGTTATTTGCTTATTGTCAACCATGAGAAGGTGTTTGTGTATAATGTCTCGTCTCAACATTATTCTAGGGTTGGGGGGCCGCGATTTCTTTTCTCTGCTAGTCTTGATGAAATCAGATCGTCATTTAATTATCAATCGACAGATCTAGATTCCCAAAAGAGAACAGTGATGCCATTGCTAGCCAGTGATGGCGAAAAGCTTGTGATTCTTGGTCTTGGAGGTGGGTATGTAGTGATGTATCGCTCCACCCTTCCAGTTTTCAAAGGGGAATTCAATACGATGCTATGGACAAGTCAGGTATTTTTCTTTGTTCTTTTCCTCTTTGTTGCATGGCAATTCTTCGCCAAGAAGAAGGAGGCACTTATTTCATGGGGCCCAGACGATCCTTTTAGTTCCACATCGATTACCAATGGAGCTCCACTAGGTTCTGGCCCTGGTGACAGATCTTTCACTGAGCCTTCTTCAAGAGGCAGTGATAGTTTGGAATTGAGAGGTGGTGGTCTAAGAGGTCCATCAAGAAGGTATGTCTCTCCATCGCGATATCCCGGTGGATCAGCTAGTTCCTTTAGGCCTAGTTCTGTAGATACAAACTCAAGACCTTCACTTGATCCCAATTTTAGAGCTCCCTCTGAGGTGAAATTTAGAGGGTCGGCTCTAGAAACTGCTGGTTTTCAAAAAAGAAGGGAGAGTTTGTTTGTAAACAGTCAAGTCGTTGAGGAAAGCAATTGACCTTCAAAATCAATTACATGAACTATGCCACTTCGAGTTCGATTTCTTTTGAAATTTTTGTCCTAAAACCATTGTGTTTGCAATGGTTGTAAACTTTGTAACTTTACTTATGTGAGAAAGAAATAATTAAAAAACTAAATTCAATGCATTTCTAATAGTAGCATTTCTAAACTATTGGATTCAATTAATTGACATTTGTAGTGTTTTGATCCCAATTATATAGTTGTATTTCCTTTAAGTACCGCATGCTGTAATATTTTCTGGAGGGGTCGGAACATCCTTTCTCTTCTGCAAAAATCATGTGAATTGAGCAAAATCATGCTATAATGATCATATTTGTCAATTTCTTTTAGGTAAGATACCTAAACTCTAGTTTTGTTACGTAGTTGAATGCTGTCAAAAAATTTATAGATAGTTGAATTTGTAGAGTCTGCTCTTTGCCTAGCTAGAATGTTATGTCTAGATTACATTATTGCAAAGTATTGTTAGTATCTTACGATTCATGATACGCATCTTACGACTCAATATTTTTAGAGACAAATCAATATGTATTTGAAGTTAAATGTCTCTTACCATACATAATGCAATATATGATATGATACATAAGATACGTGAATACTTCAATTTCATGAGCAATTTTGAAAAAAATTAATTAAACTTATTTTATGAAATTAATATTATTAGAAATTTTCATTATGTGTCTTGTGTTGTTGATTTAGACCTATTTCAACCAGTTAAAGTTTAAAGTTTTTTTACTATGGACAAATTCTGAGTTAAAAGTTGTAAATTAAATATTAAAACCTAAATAGTTAGTTAAGACAATATTTTATACATATTTTAAGGATAAATTACACTTTGTCCCTTTTATGTTTGGCCACTTTCTCACTTTAACCCTTAAAGTTTGTTTTTCCTACTTTGGCCCTTCTTGTTTTAAGGGTTTTTTTTTTTTTTTTTTTTTTTTTTTTTTTTTTTTTTCACTTTACTCCTAAAGCTAATTTCTGTTAAAAATTAGATAGAAAATAAAAAATTGACAATTATATGGCATAAAAATATTTTATTATATGACTCACAATTTTGATATAAACTTAAAGTCCAATATAATAATATGTATATTTTATGTTATGTGACAGTTATTATAATATTTTTTGTCTAATTTTAAACAAAAGTTAGTTTTAGGAGTAAATTTAGAAAAATTGGAAACATGAAGGGTCAAAATGGGAAAAATAAACTTTTAAGGGTCAAAATGGGAAAGTAGCCAAACATAAAAGGGACAAAGTGTAATTTATCCCATATTTTAACTCCACCCTGCATTTTATATAAATTAAGTATTTAGTATTATACAGTTCATATGCATTTTATATTTCAATGAACCTTACTTCTGCAATTTTGGTGTCTTGTTGTGTTTGCTATAATTCTATATATTTTTTGGATCTATTGTTTAAAATGTTATAGTATCTTACAAATACACGATATGATCTGATACACGATTTAGAAACAAAAGATACTCGATACATAACTGATTTGACAACTATGATTGCGACTACACATAACTGTATTTGGTCGCCATCCCTCAAATAATTGGGAGTTATTTTGACCCCAAGGGGTTGGCCTGATGGCAAGGCCTTGGGTCTTCGGGGTGTGTTCTCTCCAAGGTTCGGGGATCAAAACCTCTTAGGTCGGATTGGGAGAAAACTCTTGAGTTAATCATGCTGCACGTGCGGGAAGCTCCTTGTTGAGGGCTTGTGCACCTTTAGGGATTAGTCGGGCTTTGATTCGGACACCCCAGTGCTAATAAAATAAAATTGGGAGTTATTCTGTGACTGCCTCATTGAGGTTGCCAACACTAGTGATTATCACAAGACCCGTGCATTGCCTCAACCATCAACTTTGTTGTTGCATCACCACCATTACCATGTCCACATTACATACATATAATGCAGTCTCTGAGAAAGAGCTTAGATTGTTGAGAATGGTCCAACTCGCTGACCCTGCATGCTGAGTCCTGATATGACACTGATTTTCTTCATCAACGTGTACGATTGATGAACATAACTTGATTCCTTCACTGGGATCGACGGCTTTTGGATGAACTAATCAGGGAGTGGAGGGGGAGAGGGAGTGTAGTGTGAACAAAATTGTTTCTGTCCTAGTACTGTTTTCTTTGCATAATCTGTCATATGTCAATTGTGATGTGCTCTGTAGTTTCATTGTGAAAGCTATTTTTTACTTATAACCTCATCCTAATAGGACAACTTTAATGTAGTATACGAGCAAAAGGGAAGTGATAGATATTACTACTGAATTATCAATTTTTTTTTTTACTATAGCCTCATTGTGATGTGCTCTGTAGTCTCATTGTGATAGGACAACTTTAATGTAGTATACGAGCAACAGGAAAATGATAGATATTACTACTGAATTATCAATTTTTCTATCAAACTACACACGAGTGTGGTCCCAAATGCATAATTTTGTGTGCTACGTTGCCAATTACATCAGAGTTCCATATCATGATCAAATAGCTGAATAAATAAAGCAGCCAACAAAAATATGATAGTGAAGCAAAATCTCCGGCCAGGGAGGTGGGGACTTTGGATGCTAATCAAAGAAAATGAGCGAAAAAAAAGAAAAGAAAAGCAAAGGGAGAAATGCTAAAGACCCATACTTTTTAGACGACAAGGGGTCACTGCTGTGTGTGAGGCACAGCAGTGACTGTGGTGCCTCCATTTGAGGTATATTATGGCTTTATTTTTATGATCTAAATCGTCCTTTTTGTAGGGTTTGTTGAGTACTTCATGCCTACCAAAAATCATATTAATCGGATATTAATAACTATATGATCGAATTGCATATTATTTGTGTTATTTCTCAAAATAAAACTTATTATTTATTTTTTTGGTTATCGATCATATAGTTTTTGATATCCGATTAATATGATTTTTGCTAGGCATGAAGTACTCAACAAACCCTACAAAATGGACGGTTTGGATCACAAAAATAAGGTCATAATACACCTCAAATGGAGGCACCACAATCACTGCTGTGCTTCACGCACAGCAGTGACCCCTTATCCCTTTTTAGACGTACAAATTCACTCTCGATAACGTGCCAAAAGAGTTGGACCTTATATCATTAGATATAGAAAAAATTAAAAGTTAACATCTATTATACAACATTGAAATTTGTAGGTAGAATTGATTAGCACTTTTTAGAGATCTCAAATATTTTCCTATTAACAACAAAAACAACTGATTGATCATCGGAGAGAAGGAATAGGCAATCCCTTCTTTGTCATGCTTTTCAAGTATATCATTCAGTATTAATAGAATATATCTATATATATAAGATATACTTAGTTTTTTGAGGTTCGTCTTTTCTTTTTAATTTTATCCTTTTATTGTGAATAATTTACTAATGGTAGCCTATATGTTGAGGGAAGGTTTTTTTTTTTACAAACTTTCTTGGTCAATTATGCAATAGGTTTTTTCGTAATTACGCAAACATTTTGGGAAATTCTATTTTCATACTTAATTATTTCAGTGCACACACTTAATGAAATATTATTATTTTAATGGCAATTATACTCTATACTAAAATGATCATAATGGACATTCACTAGCACTCATAATATTATATGAAAATATTCTCTGTACACACTTTTTAAAAACAAAAAAAAAATCTGAATATATACATTTTGAGTAAAAAAAATCTAAACGCTAGTTTTTGCATTGTTGTTACGTTGTTTGCTACAAACTCTATACTTCTCTATTACTTGCAAAACTATATTCTTATAACAACTCTTATATTGCTTAAATCTCTAGATTTAGTGATGAAAATGTTAGTTTTTTGGTGCATAATTTTTTTTTCCCTTTCGCGGTTTTTAGTCGGATAACCAGTGTTAAATTATTTCATTATATTTGGACTTCAATTGTCGAATTATTTCATTCTATTCAGCTATCAATTGTTGAAAGTTTTTTTTAAAATTTTTTTTTGGAACAAATTTGTTGAACTAATCACTTTTATTCGGAAGTTAAGTTTTGAATTAAATGTATAATTTCGGAAAATCAGTGTCGAAATTCCCAAATTGAAAAACATAAAAAAAAAAAATAAAAAAAAATGAGGGTTTTATGACAATGGAGTGCACAGAGATCTGGAAATGGTAAATGCAATAACAAAATGAAAAGATGCCTTATATTCAACAATATTTTGAAGGGTTTTCAATAGTGTTTTTAATAGAGGTTCAATAAGGTCTTCATTGGAGGTCTTCAATGAAAGATTTTATCTTCACTTCATTTCACGCTGTGGTCTTGAATGGTCTTCACGTAGGTCTACAATGGGTCTGCAAATTTGGAAGCGAGGTCACTCAACAAGTGTGTGGAAAGGAGGGTTAGGTGGTGTGTGTACAATGATTATGAGTGAATAGTATAATTGTAACTTTTAGTGTGTGGATTGAGAAAATTAATTAATAATTAAATTAATAAGTGTGTGTATCGAGAGAATATGTGCACTGAGATAATTAAGTGTATGGAAATAGAATTTTCCAAACATTCTTGGTCAATTATGAAACATAAATCTTTTATTTTTAACAAATTACTAATACATCAATAAGGTTTGTTTAAAATATGAATTGACTCTATAATATTAGAAATTATAATTATCGTTTATTATAAATTTTCATTTAACACAATACGCAGGGGAAAAAAAAAATCAATACTTTTTTGCAAAAATAAATTATTAAAATTGTTTATTGAAAAATATTTCTCATATCATTAAAAATTGTTAATTGACTTAATGATTTATTTATTAACAAAATGGTTAATTAAAAAATATTTTTCATATCATTAAAAATTGTTAATTTAGTTAATGATTTACTTATTAATAAAATTGATCATTTGTTATGTGAGTATGATTTATGTATTATTAAAATTAGTTATTTGTATATATATATGTATTTTTTTTTGTTTCTTTATTAGTTCAGTGAATTATTTTAGTAGTTTTTTTTTTTATTTATAAATTTTTAAAAATGGGAGAACTATTTTAGTATTTGTTTTATATTTATCTGTTGAGAAAAACTATACACCATAATTTTTTTTAATAAATTCGAAAGAAATGTTAAAGACTCATAAATTCTTTTAAAATGATATGGTAATAGAATTTGAGTCTATATCATTGGGTGTATAACAAATCAAAAAAT